GGGGGCCAGGCAGGGCACACGGCTGGGGAGCGCTTCGGGGGTCGTCAAATAGTTCAGGCCCCAGAAAAAGTGTTGGCTTCACTCTGAAACGTGCCCCAAATGATGGCATAATGAAGGGGTGCCCTCGGTGACATTGACCCTCCCTGGGGGTGAGCCTGGGGCCAGGGTTGGGGAGGTTGAGAAGTGTCAGGGTCATTGGAGGTCTTAGATTTTACTGGTGCTGTAGTTGCCATAACCCTCCTCATCACTGTGTGATTGTAATTTATAACCTGTGTCTGTTCACAGTGACTGAGAATCAGTCATTTTGTCAGACAAGATGGAGGAATTGGTGATACCTTCAATGTTTCTTAATGCTACAGTTAAACTCTTAAAAAATATTTTTATTGATTTCAGAGAGGAAGGAAGAGGGAGAGAGAGAAACACCCATGATGAGAGAGAATCATTGATTGGCTGCCTCCTGCACACCCCTACCCTGGAGATCGAGCCCACAACCCAGGCATGTGCCCTGACCGGGAATTGAACCATGACCTCCTGGTTCATAGGTCAATGCTCAAGCCCTGAGCTACGCTGCCAGGTAAACGATTGCCTGTTTGAGGCGGAGAGGAGCACCATAGGCCAGAAGCAGACACGGGTCCTGCAGTGCTCACGCTCCTCTGTGCTCAAGGCTTGGCTTTGTTTGTTTTCCAATTTGTTGAGCTCCTCAGAGAGGAGGCCGAGGGAGGGAGGGCCGGCCAGGGTTGGACGTGTTTCCGTGGTTCTGATGATCAGCTCTGGGTGGCCTCTGGGTCCTTCTCTGGCAGCCCATGCAGGGCCTCGCTGCTGCTTATTGGACTCAGTAGACATTTTAGGAGCGCGACCTGAGTTTGTCCTGTGAACACACACACACACACACACACACTCACTCACTCACTCACTCACACACTCTCTCACACACACACACACACACACACACACACTCACACATACACACACTCATACACACTCACACTCACACACACTCACACACACATACACACTCATACGCACACACTCACACTCATATCACATACACTCACACACATTCACATACTCTCATACACACACACACTCATACACACACTCTCATACACACACTCTCATACACATACACACACACACTCTCTCATACTCATACACACACACATACACACACACTCTCATACACACTCATACACACACACACACTCACACACACACACTCACTCACTCACTCACTCACTCACTCACTCACTCACTCACTCACTCACTCACACCCTCTCTCACACACTCACACACACACTCATACACACACACACCCTCACACTCTCACACACACACACAGAACCACGCCCACGCCCATTGCGCTGTGCATAGCCGCGTCTCAGGGGGTATGTGTCTCGCCTGGAAAGGGGCCGTCAGCCTCATGGGAAGGCTCTTTCTTAGCACAGCAGGTGGTGAGCTGTTGGGTGCCGGCTGCCAGCATGAGCGTGTGTTTGAGTTGCGGCCTCTGCTGTGCATCACGCCTGCCGTGGGGGCGACTGTGCAGTTTCAGGCGGGGCCTGTGTGGACTTGATTTGTTCTTCACTTCGGCAGTGAAAATTGAGCTCAGAGTTGGTCATAAGCTGGCCAGTGTGTTCTAAAGACTTCTTGCCAAGGCAGTGAGGCGTGAGCGAGGGGCTGGCCTGGGTGCAGAGTGGGCCCCAAAGCCATGTGCAGGGAGCCTAGGTCCACGCCCAGCAGGATGGACAGACCTTTGGCAGCCATACATCCAGGGGGTCAGGGAGAGGAGAAGGTTTCTGGAGGAGGAGGCTGGGAATGGGTCTTGGGGGGGGAGGGGTGTGTGGGGGTGACGGAGGAGGAGGCTGGGAATGGGTCTTGCGGGGGGAGGGGAGAGGCGTGTGTGGGGGCGATGGAGGAGGAGGCTGGGAATGGGTCTTGCAGGGCGTGGGGCGGGTCGTGGGGGTGATGGAGGAGGACGGGCTGCAGACTCCATACCCTACAGGCCTGGAGCAGGTGTTGCTGGGAAGAGGCGATTGAGTGTGGGCCTCGGGGTCCGACATCTCCTCTAGGGCCTTGGGGAGATGGGTAAGAGTGTCTTTCGCTTCCACCTGCTGCCTCTGTAGCAGCAGCTGCTCAGATACGGCGGAGGTGTTAGGGGGACATTATGGAGCCGTGAGAGCGATGTTTTGGGGGCAGTGACCTGTGACTAGCGAGCTGCTGCCGGTTTGCATCCTGTGCCTGCTGCTACCTCAGGGACAGGTGACTCGGCTGCAGCTCTGTGGGTTTTTCTAGATTAGCCAGAACCTGGGTTTTTATGTGAAATCGTCTGAATTCAAGTTGTCTGAATATCTGAGGATGGTCAGCTAGTCACGCTCAGCAGGCCCTCCTCCACGAGCCGTCAATGCTGCTGGGTGGTTGGAGCCACAGCTGCTGGGTCCACCTGGCTTTCACCTTTGACCTGGTGTCATGGGTCAGCCCTGACCTGCCTCGTGGCCCTGGCCACCTGCCCTGCGGCTGATGCGGTGACAGCACCCCCGTCCTCCCTGCAGATCGAGATGGCTATCCTGCGGTTCCCCTACGAGTCCTGGGGGACCCCCTTCCAGCAGCTGAAGCAGGTGGTGGAGGAGCCGTCCCCTCAGCTTCCGGCTGACCGCTTCTCTCCGGAGTTTGTGGACTTCACTGCCCAGTGGTGAGTGCAGCACCCTGGCCGGCAGCGGCCGCCCGCCTGGCACCTTCTCCCTCAGCACACAGCCCCCAGCAGCGTCACATCCACACCCAGAGCAGCGCTGCGCCCCGGGAAGCCTGCCATTGGTCCTCCCACACGGACAGGTCAGGGGAGGCCAGGAGAAGGCAGAGGTTTTCAGCTGGAGTAGCATGAAGAAAGGCAGGTTATTGGTGTTTGGAACTCCACAAGCTAAGGGTGCCCACAGGAGCCTTATGAAATAGCGCTGGAGGACGGAGACGGGAGAGGCACAGGCCGGCCGCGGCCGTGGTCTGCCCACAAGGAGGTAGAACGCGTCCCAACTACAGGAGAGCTGCGTGGAGATTCAGGTGAATTCTGGCTTACTCTTGGCTTATGAAAACATTCGAAAAATGAAGTTACAAGCTGTTCAGAAGTGAAAGAGTAAGAAAATGACATGTTAGTCTCTGTGTGTTATGAGTAAAGAGACACTCGGAGGGAAACTCACAGCCTTTCCTTCTCTTGTTAGAAAATAAGACTGAAGACAAAGGCTCTACAAACAGCCACCATCCCCTTGACTCCTTGCACTCAGGGCTCCCCTCCTGGGACCTGTGATAAGGAAGTTCCCTCCTGACGAAGGACACCAAGGATATGAGTGCTAATGGCAGCATCTTGGTATCATTTCAATAGGAGGGTCACTGGGAATTTCCTAGATTGCTGGAGAGACAAGACAGCTAGACCCCAGAGGCAGAGAACGAGCACCCCAGAGGCAGAGAACGAACTTGGCCTGAGTCTGAGTCTGCACCTGTGGGTCTCCTCCATCCCTCAGGAGCTCCCAGAACAGTCCGCTTCTTCTTCCCTGAGCCTGGAGCATGTTCCCCCTCGCTGCCCAGGCTCAGGGACTTGGCTGGCCTGGGGGGGCTGGACCCCCTCCTCCAGGCCAGCCTGACCCCAGCCTGCCCTGCTCTCTCCTAGTTTGAGGAAGAACCCCGCAGAGCGCATGAGCTACCTGGAGCTGATGGTGAGTGGTGGGGGCAGCGCTCGGTGGCTCTCTAGGGAGGGAGGGGGCTGCGTCCCCGCGCACAGGTGAGCAGCAACTCGGGCTGGCCCTGCAATATTCATTCAGGTAGCCCACACTGAGCCCTGTGGAGGGCACAAAGGCAGGGCCACAGGGGCGGGTGGGGAGGCAGGTGGACTGTTTTATCTGAAGGTATCAGGGAAGGCTTCTTAGAGGAGGTGACATTTGAACTGGGCCTGGAAGGATGAATAAGGACTTACTAAGATGGAGCGGGCATTCCCCGTTGAATGTGCTGTAGGCTGTGGATGGCTAGTGGGGGGCCCAGGAGGCAGTGACTGCTGTCCTAACTGGGAGGGCTTTCTGGGGCGAGTCCTAGGAGGATGCGTGGGAGTCTGCCCGCAGGGAGCACACCAGGCCTGGCTGCGGGGTGGGGGGTGCGGCGGGAGCACCTCTCCTCACACTTTGTCCTGCCCCCCGCAGGAGCACCCTTTCTTCACCTTACACAAGACCAAGAAGACAGACATCGCTGCTTTTGTGAAGACGATCCTGGGAGACGACTCGTAGAGGGGCCCCAGCCCAGAGCCCTCCACGGGGCGATGCTTGCCCACATCCATAAGCTACTGCAGCTGGCCGTGGGCATCCTGGGAGGACTCGAGGGGCTGGTCCCAAGTGCCAAAGAACCAGACTGTCAGGGCTCCCTGCGGCCCTCATGGGCCTACCAGTGCCTCTGTCCTGCTGCTTCAAGGACCCCAAGTCTTTAGCCCCCAAGACCCTGGACTTGTGGGGACCTGGGTGCCCCCAGATGTTGCCGCCCCTCACAGAGAAGGCAGCCGGCACCTGTGCACTGCCTGGCCCCGCCCGGATGCCTTCAAGTTGTATATTTTTCTACTTCTGACTGAATGGACTTTGCACACTTTGGCTCAGGACTCTGCTGGGTGGTGTGGGTGCGGACGGGTGAGCCACGTGGACCTCGAGCCCCCTGAGGGAGACCCCGCTGCTGGAGCCCTCGCTGGGCGCTGCACGCAGGCCTCCCCGGGACCCTGTGGCCCAGCCCCTCCTGTCACATTTACTAGGGGCGTCGTTTCACTTTCTTTTTTTAATTTATCCTCTTTTTCCCTTTTGCTTTGTGGGTTTGGCTGGGTTTTTATTGCTGTTGTTGTTTGTTTTGCACGGTCTGGAGCCACATACGTTTTCTGCCACCCCCGGGGGCCAGTGGCCAAGACTCACCTCTGCTCGGGTGGCTCTAGGAGGTTGGCCTCCAGTCTCTGCTCAGAGACACTCCCTGGGGCTGGCCTGGCAGGCTATAGATTAGCTTTTCATAATATGTGTGTGTGGGGGGGTGTGTATATACACACATATACATATATGCTTTTTTTTTTAAAGAAAGGACTACCTGTCCTGGGTTCTGTCCCTGATGGGTGGGGGCAGTTACCTGTTTGCTGTTTTAATAAAAAAAAAAAAGTGGGTGCGAAGGCGGCGTGCGACTGTCACCGTGCTGAGCCCACGCCTCGGGGTGCCTGTGGCCACTGGGAGGACCCCTGCCCTGGGGTGGGGCCGGGCTGTGTGGTCGGGGGAGGGGTTGCACCAGGGCCCTGGGGTGGTGCTGAGGGGCCGGTCCTGTGCTGGGTGCTGGGCGGAGCAGCAGACACAGGCCTGACCGCTGGCTGTGGGAGAGTGCTCTGCCGATGCCCTCCCTGGATGCTGTCCGCTCACGGAGGTGGGATGCTGTCTTGGGCTACGATGTTGTCCCAGTTTCTGAGAAACAGGCCCAGCGAGCTGAAGTGACGCGCCCCAAGCACCCAGCTGGTAATGGTGAGAAGCAGCTTGGAGCCAGGCCGTGTACCTTGGGAGGGGAGCTCGAGGAAGGCGGCATTGCCAAGGTCCAGCCTGACCTGTGGTCCTCGGGTCTGGGCTGGGCGGGAACTGCCATCACCGCCGTCAGCAGCAGGAGTGACTGCTCACGTGAGCACAGCTGTGTGCGGCTCAGGCAGTTGGGCAGGAGCGGGTTGGTCCCTGTAGCACTCGTGTCCGCCTTAGCTGCTTTCTCTCGGTCCACACCCTTTGTGGGGACAAGGCAGGACCCAAGGGCTCCTCCCAGTTTAGCAAAGGGGCTCAGACTCCAGCTGCAGCCCCAGGTCTGGCTTGTTGGGCGGGAAGGGGTCACATACCCAAGTCATCAGCCAGGAGGATCAGCCCACCCACATCTCAGGGTTGAGAATGCACCTCCCTAGTCCTCCAGGGGAACTCAGGGCATCTTCTCTGGGGTCCTCTCTCCTCTACCTCAGCGCCCCTGTCCTCACCCCGCCTGTCCTCAGCACAACCTGGTGTCAAAGAGCCTCCAGTCCAGGACAGCTCTCTGCCCACTAACCCTTCCCTGGCACACACTGAACACTTGAAGGCACGTCTGTGCCTCTCCCTCCCAGCCTTCCTCCATGATGAAGGCTGTTCTCACCATGGGGTCTTTGCACAGACTGTACCCCCCCGCCTGGGACCCCTTCCCCCAGGCCTGCCTCTCCTCTGGTCCAGCCAGGTTTCGTCCGAGTAGATCTGACTGCCACTGTGTTCGCTCAGCCTTTGTTAATGAATAAAACATACAGCAAAGCAGGAAGGCGTGAGTGCATCTAAAACCCTGTGTGTGTGTCGTCCCACCCGCATGCCCAGGGCAGGCCACCGAACCCTAGGGCGTGTCCCAGTCGCTCCTGCAGCCACCAGGAGACACCAGACGCCGACTGGGATCCCCGTGTCCCCAGAGCCCTGCCCACAAGGCCTCCGAACACCCATGGCCAACTCTTACCTCCCTCGCCCCTCCCACCGCCACCTTCCCAGGTTCCTGGTGGGGATCCAGAGGGTAGAGTCTGGGGCTTTGCCCTTGCACCTCAGCCCTGGCTGCCTGTGCACGTCCTGGCTGCCCCTTCCCCCCCCCTCCGTGCACAGGCCCTGCTGGGAGCTCTGCTGAAGCAGGGTGACAGGTCGGGGGTCTGGTTCCCCACAGACACTCCAGGCACAGCCCTCTCCTGCTGTTTACAGAGAGCCTTATCAAGCTCAAGGCTGTTTACAAAACAATTTGCAAAGTATCTTCCAGTTTGCAACGCCCTCTACAGGCCTGGTATTTTTAGGTTTTTGTCTGCTGACCAGCTCCCCCCTAGTGTGGGACGGGCTCTCCTGGGGCGGGATGAATCTGTCTGTCTTGCTCAGTCTGGCACGAAGGGACCACGACAGCGGAGACGGCCAGCGCAGTGGAGGTGCCCTCGGGCACCACCGTGGAGCCCAGAACCAGGGCAGGGGGCCCAGGGAGCAGACTGCCCTGAATGTGCCAGGCTGGGCTGGAGGCGGTGGAGGGCCCCAGGCGGGAGCAGGG